TCTAATTATTATCAGTGGCAGGTAGCTCACTGGAGGCATCCATGCAGTAACTTTTACGAGGTTGGTGGGTTTCCAGAAGAGCTGTATGTTCTAATGGGAAAAAGGCTTCAACACAAACAGTTGCTTCCTGCTTGGTCCTAGAGCTCAACCAGTGTGAATTTAATATAGCGTAATATTGTGTTTGGATGGTAAAAAGTGCAGGGGTCAAAACTTGACTTCAGAAAAGGGGGGGGGGGGGGGGGGGGACATGTACCCCCCCCCCCCCAAATTACGTCCATGATTGAGCGGGTTGTCATGCGGCGTACTCCGCTCGCTCGCACAGCAACTGAGAGAGAGAGAGAGAGACAATGTCTGCTCACACAAGAGAGAGGATCGGAGGACGCTCCTCCAAACCGATGCTCCATACACGCATTATTATTTTCATAATTTAATTATTATTTCTCCTGGAAGCGCTCAGTCAGACTGAGTGTTATGATGCTGGGAGATCCGGTCTTGGGGAGGGGGCGGGGTCATTGACGGTGGCTGCAGTGTAATAGTCTCGCTTTTATTTAGGGACACGGAGAAGTTAAAAGGAGAGTGAAATAGAAGAAAGAAGTTTTTGTTCCACTTTATTCTTTTGTTTCATGATGATAAACTGATGTTAAATTCAGCTTAAAGAGAAACTGGGAGGAAGCTTTGGTTCATTTTAAGTTACAGGAGGTCTGTCTCCTATCTGCTCCTCCAGAGACAGCATGGACATGAGGGTCACATGGTGAGGGTCCCACAGGACAGGTTAGTGGAAAGTTTTGTAGTTAGCTGGTTAGTGAAGGAGATCCATCAACTGGGTAATTTAATCCTAATCCAGCCCACAGCCTTCTGCTGGTGTTATTATCAGAAAGAATAAAACACACATCTTAAAGAGCAGGTCAAGTGTGCCTCGGAGTCCTTCTCCACCCACGTATCAATTTTAAAAACTGCAACATTAGTAGGCGTTGCCTGGAGGACCGAGAGGGCGGAGCCGCAGCAGTGACGAAGACGATGGCTAACTGGACGATGCTAGCTCCCTTCTCTCTGAGCAGTTATTAGAAGTGGAGGACGTTTCTCCCCCTCCTTACCCAGACACTCGAGAAGAAAGGGACCAAGTCTATTTGGAGGAGACAAGCGGACCTGAGCCTTATTGTTTTGAGCTTGTGAGTTGCCTGAAACTAGCGGAACCGACCCAACAGAACCAGCTCTGAATGGTAAGTAGCCGTTAGCCATAGCATTGGATTAGCTGCAGGATTTGGCTCCACGGCCCTAGAGAGCTAGTATTCAGCATGTTTTAGAGGTTTATCTGCTTCAACACACCTGGTTTTAATCAGCAACAAATAGCTGAGCTGCTTAACAGCTAATCTAACCTGTTAAAGCAGGAAAACCAGTGAAAATTGCTGGATTGCAGCTCTCCAGGAGCCCTGGGCTCAAGTTACAGTCTGCTGCATAGAAAGTTATGAAAATACCCCATGAGAAAATTATTCTGTGTTCAGCCCACTAAAACTGCCCTGATTTATTTATTTACTGATAACAGCTGCTCTCTTGGTTCTAGGTCCTCTGGTGTCTGCAGCTGGTCTCTGGTGTCGTCAGGATCAGGAGCTTCCAGAAGAATGTGCCTTTCAATGACTCTTTCCCCCTTATTTGTTTTATTAATTAAATAAATCTCAATTTATATATTTCCTGTTTTTGTTCATGTCCATAAATACTTAAACATGCTTGAAATTAAAACAAGCTTTTAACAGTGAGGTGCTAGTTTAATTCATCACAATAGAGCTAGTTAAACATGCAACAATGTAATAATTCAATTAATGTAATTTATAAATATCCATTAAAATATCAAAACTGGAATCTAAATGAGATATTTGGCAGCACAAAAAACTTGTCAAACACAATATTTATTATAATAATTGTAGGCAGACAGGAGACAGAGCTGATGGAGGTTCTCAGTCATCGAAGGAAGGCTGAAGGCTTTCCAGGAACAGGAGATGTGGTGTTGTCTCTTCTCTCTATTCTGCCAGATGAGCTGATAGGTTACAGGTGTGTGAGGACATCCTCATGCTGTCACAACCAGATGACATGAGTTATCATGTGATCAGCCAGGCTAATGATGAGATGCAGAAAGAAAACAAATCCAGGACAGTGTACAGTAATAATTATATGTGGTGTTGCTCACCTTATGTGCTCTTATAGAGTATTAACGTGTGCCTGCCTCATGGTGTAGAGTCCATATTTTGCTGAGTGTCCTGCAATAATGCAGGTTATTAGTTAATTTACTTTTGATAGCAAAAACAAAATATTTAATGTAAAAGTTATTTACCAGGTGAATCAGCTCACACGTCACCACCAAGTGTCACAGGGCCAGAATCAGTAGCCTCCTTCATGATGTCATGATGTAATCACATACTTATTTAATTGTTAATATCTTAAAAATTCTGAAATGTTTTAATTTTTTTTACCTTGAACAGGTCACTGAGCTTGCACTGCCACTGAGGTGGAAGCTGGAATCAACAGCAGACACCTCACATCTTGGTCTTTTCAGGGGTGTGGACGCTGCTCTGGGACTTTCTGGAAGATGAATTTCCGTCATGGTCCCTGTGTCACAAGACACACTGCGGCTGTGAGCTCTATTCTGGGTGGCTATCTAAAAAACAAAGAAACAGCACATTTATAAATGTTTAAAAGAGCATAAAATCACGTGTAACAATAATCTGTAAAACAAATTAAAACTAGAAGGTAATAATAAAATGTTTACATAGAAGATTATTAAAAATAATTCACCTTTGCTACGGGTAAAGCTTGGTTTATGCTTGACGCATTCACTTTCCGTGCAGTGATGCGGCTCGCGGCTGGAACACGCTTCACAACTCGCAGCGTTTATGGTTTGTGTGGCTCGTCTCTGCGGTGAGCCAATATTTTCCAAACTGTAGGGGCAGCATGGAGCTCTACAGCATGCATCCAACACTACACCATAGTAGAAGTAGAAATGACTGTTTACAACACGGCATTTCAGCATTTTTAACAGCGTTCTCGTCTTTTCCGACAGTGTGAGCTATTTCTCTCCAAGAATTATTAACAACATGTTGATCACGGTGATCTCTGAGAGCTGAATCATACAAATGTCTGTATTTACGAACCTGTGCCGTACTAGTTCTTGCCGGTCCGCCATGTTTTTCCGCGTCCGACCGTCCGCGTGGTTAGAAATTTTCCGAGGTGCGCTTTGCGGAAATTCTGGGCCGTGCGGAGGCGCGGCGGAGGGGCGTGGTTGTTAAAATGACGCAAAATGACGCGACTTTTCCGCGCGGAGCCGTGCGGACCTCGCGGACGCGTCAAGCAAAAACCAACCTTAAGGCTTCACGTCAGCCTGGACAAGTGCATTCCTGCAGCTAAATCAGTCTGACAGCCAGTGTCTTGGGTAGATTTAGCCTGAAAAAAAAAAATAGAAGCACATTGTTGTTGGGAGTTTATAAAGTCAGATAATATACAAAAGAAACTGTCCTATATAGGTGCTTTATAACATTCCTAGTGTGTGATCGTTGTTATAACATAAAAGTCAAGTTACATATGATGTGGAGAGCCTGAAATGCGACCTCCTGAACAGAATTTCTTACAGAACCGGGTCACAAGCTGGATTTCACACTGTAATGCTGTCTGTCAACTAGTGCTGCGTCAGTTAGAGCCACTTTTGCAGAATTACCGACTGACTAGCTAAAGGAAGTGAACCACGTCTCTCAAACTTTGCATTTAGGTAGGGAATTGTCTTTAGAAGATGTTAAAACTTTTATTTCGCTTACCTCAGACTGGAGCCCGCCGTGGTGGGGGAGCAGAGTCGGTGGGCTGCATCTAAATCGCGGAAGAGCCACGGTGGGCACAGCCTCCCTCTTCAAACGGAGGCGTGCAGAATCGTGGGTAAAATGCTGGTTGCAAACTACAGCATCAGGCGGGAGCTGAATGTTTTCCAGACACCGATTGCGCGCAACCACTGGCGCCTAATTTCTAAGTCTAGCGGAAAGGAGTACAACCCCACAGAGCCACCGCAACCATACTACAATACACCTTCTCACCATACTAACACGATATGGAGCACTAAACCTGAACTACTTTCCTAATAACACTAACAGCCAAACACTAACTAAACTACAATATCCAACAGCCAAACTAACACGAAATAAGTATTTATAACACTAAAAGCTATGCTAAAGACTAGGATATGCTAATGCTATATGCTAATGCTGAACTACCGCTAACCGCTTGCAAATTCAACTCCCAACTCGCCACAAGGCGTGGCCGAGACGCTCGTTGCTTTTATAACTTTGACACAGAGCTGCTACGTAGTACTCTACTGGTTTACGTAGTATCTTACTCTTTAGCCATTGGCTAAAATTTATTCAAAATGAGTCAAATTCTATGTTTTAAGCTGAAGGTAGAGCTATACTGTGGTATTTAGGCAGAATTTTTAATTTTTAAAGAAAATGCACCAAAATGCTAAAATAATGAATACAACATTTAAAACACTATTAGACACTCATTTATACAGTTCATCAGCAAAAAAAAAAAAAAGTTCATTTAGACGTTACTTGCTCTTTAAATATTATTGGAAGTGTAGAATTTGTTTTATTTTTTATTATTTTCTGCATCAAACAGAACTTGATTCATTCTCCAACATTTCAGAAATGAACCACTGGGTTCAAATAAAATAACAAACTAAGGCGAACATTTCTTTTGGTGTTATTTCTGACACCCTTCAACTGTGGCATAAAAATTTGACTCTAGAGCTGCTCAGAGACATTAAACACTCATATATGAACCCATTATGGATTTTATTATTACATTATGTGTCCTGTAGGTTTTCAGTACTTTTTTAGATTTTGTGAGTTTTTGCAAAGCGTGTTTTTCTCAGCCTGAGGCGTGGTGCTGAACGAGGAAACAGATGTTTTACTTTGTTAAATCTTCTTAAATGTTTAAAATGTTTTGTCCAAACCTGTTGTGAATGGAGAGCTTTTGAGGGACGGCAGGTTGTGCCAATTACGTTTTTGATAAAAAAAAAAATAAAATAAAATAAAAAGCAATTATCTGACATCTTCTATTTATCGATGAAAACAAATCAATATGAAATCATCGTGATGCATCCGGATAACGAATCGAAGACCCAATAACTGTAATCGTAATCGGGAGACAAGTGAAGATTCGCACCTCTAGTTTCCAGTCGTAGATTTTAGTTTTAATGCAGCCATTAAATTGATTGTTGTTACAGAACGAGCAGCAGAACCTGTGTGTCTGAATACTTGTTTACATAATCTGGTATGAATAAACATGAGATAATTTATGAATAAACATTATTGAAGCTGAGAACACACACACACTCTCTGCTGGGAAATCTCAGCCTTCATGAATATTCATGTTTGAGTCGTTCTCACACTCCGCCTTTGTGCTTCACTCAGACGGACATCTTCAGCCTCTTCTCCTCCAGCTACTTTGCCTCCTTCTCCTTTTTCTTCATCCTTCCTCTTTAGGTCGTTCATTTATTCCTTAAATTTGAATTAAGCTTCAGTTTAACGTGACAGTGTGTATTTTCCCTAGTGACGGGGGCAGTACATGCCTAAATCATTGCAAGCAAGCAGTATTTTTGTGTTTGAGTAAGACCGTACCAACGGATGGCCATTAGGGTCAAAAATATCTGGGAGCACAACGTCCAGCAAAATGACGAGCACATCAGACTCCCTTTCATCACAGGCAACAATTGAAGAGGTAAATGTGTAAAACTACATTTAAGAATGGTGAAAGTTTTTCAACAACTGGGCATCATTGTTTTTGTTTTGAACAACATTTCCATGTATACTTCCAGAGATTGACAGTAAAAACTACACATCATCTCATTAAGATGTAACCAAGCCCCCATAATATTGGTATGAAAGTGAAGCCAACACGGAAGTACCAAAAATTGCAGTTCCACCCTCATCCACTGGGGGCTGGTGTCAGAAGTGGGCAAATCCTCATTGACTCCCATGTTAAAAATACCAATTTCACAGCAGAAATAAACATGTTTACAGCCTGGTACCAGAACATGTTTTAGGTTTAAATGATCTAGTTTACACTCATGACAACTCTGAGGGGGGTGAATTTTTTTTTCTCACTCTTCTGTTTAAGTGTATTAAAAGCCTAAAATTCTGTATAATTAATGAGCATCAGACCCACGTGACCACAGAGCTAGCTCCGGGGAAAGGCCTCAGTAGAGCCTCGGTCTGGCCTGGAAACTGTTCCGGGATTTTGAGTCTCTGTGTGTGTGTATTCTTGTTTGGATATTATTTGTGCAATTGTTGGACAAAATGACTTGCTGTGGCATTAATTGCACTAATAGAGCGTCCAAGGAGTCTCCACTTCATTTTTTTCGTTAAGTAAAATTATATTTATGTATTTTAGGTCACTGCCGAGCTGAGCTTAGATTTTAACATGTACTGTTTAACCATGACATTTAAATGTAATTATATATATATATGTGTAATTATTAGGGCCCGACCGATATATCGGCCGGCCGATATTATCGGCCGATATAGGGGTCATTAACTCTATCGCTATCGGCCAAAAAGACGGCCGATATGGCGCTACCTATCCAGCAGATGGCGCCAGCTTTATGAACTCATGTTGTGGGCACCACTCCTCGGGGGGTGGAGCCACCGTCACAGCACACATGCAGCGGAGCAGCGGAGTCAAGCAGAGACGACGGTGATGAGGAAGTAGGAGGTAAGTCTTCAGTTTTAAGCATACTTGTTGTGTCAGTGGTAAGTAGAACAGTAAAGTAAGCAATGACAAAAGTATGTTTCCCCTCAACATGCTTCCTAAGTTTATTGTGTGCCTCGTGGCCTCGTATTGAAAAGTTAACCTGAAAAAATAAAATAAATACTGCCGCAGCATTAAGCTCTATGCAGAGCTCACGCTGCTTCCCCTTTAGTCATGCAGGGCAGTAACAGTAAGTAACATTGGCCTTTTTCTGGTAGACATTCTGGAATATTCTCAGACAATTTCCTCCGCTCTTCTTCAGCAGTCTTTTCAAACTCAGCGGTTCACCCGCGGCTTGCGAAAAAAATAGTGCAGACGCCGTGGGCTGGAGCGCCGGCGTGCAGCGCTTCGGCGGCCCATGTGGCCTATAGAATAGGATAACAAGGGCGAAGAATGAAGGCGTCCCCGTTTAGCGGCGCTTCGGCAGCACACGACCGTTGTCGCAGCTGAGGACGGGCGAGGGGGGGTTGGCAACAAAGCAATGAAACGCTGTGCAGGGAGTCCCCCCATCTCTCCCTAGCTGGGAGAGGAGTAGGGGCGGTAATACGAGAGAATAAACATCCCTCTCTACAATAGAATAAATCTATTATATTTTTTCAGCCTTATATTTTACATAAGGCTTATACATTGCCACATACTAATCTAACGTATCTTATTTTTATTTTCCTAATACGGTCGGCTTTGGAAAGGATAAAAACACAAAAGTGTAAAACTCAAAAGTATTTTAATGCCAAAAATCAGGTAGCTAGGATGCTGAAACCAGCAGAGTATGACTGTAACTGAACCGTATGCACTGAGGAGTGAGAGAGGACAGAGGACTAGTTATGAGGAGGAGCTGTGAGTGGGAACAGAGTACAGCAGGGGAACATGGGAGGAACTATAAATGAAAATAATTTTAAAGAAGAAATAATCCTAAAAGGGAAAGAAGAATAACTAGAAAAAAACCTGACAACAAACGGAAGACGAATACTAAATGAGAAACCCTTAACAGCCGGGGAACCAAACAAAAACAGAGCCATTGGTTTTGAGCCACAATGTCTGATATCATTTATTTACATGATAATTTTTAAACTTTTAAGTATAAAAATGCCAGATTTAATGTATTTTACTTTGTCTTAGTATCAACAGATATATAACTGTACTTTTATGCTGATTATTTTATTACAGATGGAAAAAGAGGGTCGTAGTAAGGTGTGGGACTACTTCACTAAAGATTCATCTGGTGATGTCATCTGCAGCATCTGCTCATCTTCTGTAGTAGTTTGTGTGTTCTGTTGTTTTTGAGATGGCTAAATAAATCTTATTTGCATTACTTGGAAACCCTACTGAGTTATTGAGACAGTTCTTTGGTGTATAATAGAGAAATAAGTTCGCATCAAAAAGGCAGAGAATGAAGGGTTTAATCTTAAGAACATTTGTATTTATTTTTTTGTGAGGGAGATTTATCGGCCATTATATCGGCTATCGGCTTTGGTTAAAAGTTTTATATCGGTATCGGCCCCCAAAAAAGCATATCGGTCGGGCCCTAGTAATTATAACATGTTAGTGGAGCTGGGTTCCGACTATTGGTATGGTCCCCTCCCCTCAGCGGCATCTCGGCGCATCTCTGATCCCAGCAGCGCTTGTCTGCTGCGTGGCTGCAGGCTTGTGGAGCTCTCGGGAGACCTCTGTGTTCCACCCGGTTTTCCCCAGCTGTCAGCCCGGTGCATCTCTGACTCAGAAGCTCCGGTGTTGTGCAGTTAACTCCGGTTGTAGCTAGGTTAGCTACAACCAGAGCTACAACTTACCTAACCTCTGTTAGCTTAGCTCCCACCTCCGCGCTAGTTTTGGGTTAGCTTGTAGCTACATTGCTTCAGTTCAACGGGTGTCGTCATTTGATCCCAGCCTTACAGCCCCACCCTCAGCTCCACCTCTTTTCCCTTTTGTGGAATTGTCTGGCTTGACGGAACCTGTGACACGGTCAAAATGGCGGTGGTGGCCACCTCCCATTTTGGCTTAAAAATTATTGGAGTCTATGGACAAGAACTGTCCAGTATATATGTCGGGTGTAACCAGGGACAGGACTGATCTAATCAGGTCCTGAGCTCAGCTGGAGCTCCTCCTGGTGGTGGTGAACAGACATAGCACCAGACCCTCAAGTCAAGTTCACTTAGGCTTTTGTAAATTAACATAAGTCAACGTTACAAAGAAATGTTCTTTACGAGATGAAATGAGAATTACTCAGAAATGTTAAACTTAAGATAAAGAAATAAATAAGTAATGACTTTAAGTTCCACATGTAAGTCTCTGCAACCTGACAGAAACATCAACCCTAAAAATAAAATAGATGTAAACTCTTAATTACACTTCCTGCTGGCAAACTTGATTATAATGCCTCATGTATATATGTATATCCTAAAAAGGAAGGAGTGGCGTCTAAAGCTTGGTTTATGCTTGACGCGTCCGCTAGGTCCGCACGGCTCCGCGCTGCAAAATTGTGTCGTTTTTAACAACCACGCCCCTCTACCGCGCCTCCACACGGCCCAAACTTTCCACACCGCACACCTAGGAAATTTTCTAACCACGCGGATGGTTGGACGTGGAAAAACATGGCGGACTGGCAAGAACTAGAATGCCAGAGGTTCATAAATACAGACATTTGAATGATTCAGCTCTCAAAGATCACCGTG